TATTAAAAACTGAGAAAAATAACTCAAAGGACAATTTAGTATTTTTACCTGAGGGATGAAAAATGAAATAAAATCAAAACTTAACCTTTCAATAATTTGTTCTATCAAATATGATTTATGCACCTCTAGGCTCTTACCTTTAGGACGGGACAGAGGATGGGCAGCCGGTCTAGTTAAAGAAAAAAAAACACCAATAAAACCCGATCACAAACCGGTCCCTGTCCACCCCATAAAAGCTCAGCCCAATTGTGGACCATGCCCTCGATCGGTCCAAAAAACCTTTCAATAGTTTGTTTTCATCATGAATCATGATTATTGCAAAATTAAGAATTAAAACCAAAATCAATTAAACAATTGCGCTATAATATGACTTAAAGCTAATAACCGTTAAATAATTTTATATTATACACTTAAAATTTAGTTTGTTGCAACAACTCAGTACCTGCTTCTTCAATCTGATTATTTTTAAAGAAAATTTAAAAATCAAAATAAGAAACTTTGTAGTTTGAATGTATATCAAGATTAATCTTATAACTTAAAGAGATAATAATCAGTTTTCTAGTATTCAACTAAAGTGACTCTGAATAATACTGTACAATTCGTATGTAAGACGTTGTAAGAAAATAAATTTTCAATATGAAATCATCAAATATTAACTTTAATCAAATAATCAACTATTCGTTATACTGTTATTTTAAACACACAAATCCAACTTTTTATACGTAATATGCACGGTAAAAATGAGTATTATAATAAAAAGTTACAGTAATCAAAATCAAAAGTATAGAATATTCGAAACTTCAACCCATATGTTCTTTTTCTTCTTTGCTTTTTGTTTTTCTTAGTTTTTCCCAATTGACAAAGTCAAAATCAACAATATTGCTGGGTCATGTGAAAGGGTCGTGGTTCAAACTCACACGTTAATCTTCCTAATTTTGGACTTCTTGTATCCCCCCATGGACCATTTTCAAGTAGTGGATTTATATAATTTCTTTTACAATATTTCAAATTTCTTAATTTGATCAATGAGGCTATTAGTATTTACAAATTCTCCAACCGTCAATCTCATAAAACTTACTGTTTTTGTCGTATTATTTTTTCATTAACTTTTATCTAACAAATTTTTTTAATCAAATATCTCCTATTAACTTTTTTAAGAATCCGGATCAAATAAAAATGAATTTTTAGTAGGAAGGTAACAAAAATTTATATTCATATTTTTTTTATCAAACCGACAAAATAAATCATTAGATGAATTAAAAGTAAGATGATTCACAATAAATTTTTTCCAAAAAACATCTTCATAATTTATTTCTCAGTAAATTAAGCAAAAATTCATTTTTTATATCAATAGCAACAAAACCATTGCAAAAATAAATCATTACGATGTTTTTTCAGAATTTTTTTTGTGAATCATGACATTTTTTATTGATCTAATGATTCATTTTTTAATTCGCCAAAAATATATACATAAATTTTTTTTCTTACCTTCCGACCAAAATTTTCTTATTAGTGGATCTATATCCACCTTTTTTAAACTTTTTTTTTTTTAAAATTTAAGTAATTTTATCTTTTATATATTTTAAATGTTTTACTAAATCCCCTTATTATCATTTTTACTAACATGCGTTATATTTTTGGTATTTTTTAGGTAGTTTTTCCGAAAAAATTTGTTTGATATTTAGTATTATTTTACTAACACACGTCATCCATATTTATCCTTTTTATAGACATTTAATGCCAAAAATTAAAAGTAACAAAATAATTTTGCCAGGGTATTTTTTCCAAAACTATAAAAGGTAAAAAATTCTCACATATATAGTTATGTTATAGAAACACAAAAACCATAAAATATAATGTAACAATGATGTTTTATAATATTTGATATTTTTTTAATTTTTAGAGTTTTGATAAATTCTTTTAAATTATATAATTTTTTTATAAAATATATTCAATTTTTTATTAAACCAGTTGATTAACTTATAAAAAATTAATATCTAAATATATTCAGGTATAAAATAAAGTTTTATTAAATGTAAGGATCAAATGTGACAAAACATGAAAGAAATTAAAAGGTTGAGAAAAACAAGTTTTTTGAGTGACCTCTCCTAAAAACCTTGTTCTCCGATGGTAAAAAGATTTTCAATAGATTTAGAAAAAACTACTATTGGGATGCTCTTTATAATAGAAATGCTATGATAGGTCAAAAAGATAATATTTGAATATGGATCATTAGTTTAGGTTGGTTGGGTTGATCATTCTTTTGCAAATGGTAAAAAATGTTTGAACTGCAACTTCAAGCCCAAAATGTCCTGAAGATACACCAAAAATGGCTCACAAACTAAACATCGCAAATAGAAATAAGCATCTTGGCAACTTAACAATCTCTACAAATATAAACAAGCAAGTTAACTTGCATCAAAGTTTTGGAGCATGGCACAAATGAGTCACCAACTCTCCAATCCTCATCGGTGAGGTCATCAAGACTTGTACCCCTTATTTCTAAACTTATACGCTTTGTAAACCACTTGAGTAGTGGCCGGTGAAACATTTTAGGGGATATGGATGATATTTCATCTACCTGAGTTTTAATCCGGTTGTTGCTATTTGCTCCTGTGGCCATGAAGGTTCATTTGGTGTGACTTCAGGACATGATATATAACTTCATGTTCGCATGTGGCATTAGTCATGGTGCGTGTAAGCTAGCCCGTGCATACTCATTAGGGAAACCCTTTTTTACTTTAAAAAAAAACTTATACCCTCACTATCAAAACTACTTTTGAGCTTCAATTACTACGATTTTACCCATTTTGATTGTTAGAGATAAACATATAAGTCAATTCGAATTGTTCATTCGTAGTTCGAAATTGTCACCTCGAGTTAGTACATAATTGCAGATGGGTTAAAGTTGGTTTGTACATTTAAAATTGACTAACCAAATTAGAATGCATCTGGTCATTCTCAATTTTCAATTATTTGTTCGATTATTAATTGTTGGTGATTTTAGTGTTCCCTGACATTTTGTGTAATTAGAACTGACACGTGAGCTAAGGGGCTTATTATTTATACTCTATATTACATGTTCGGTGAATGTGGAGTGCATGCATGTATAAGATCGAATTATAAGCCGGCACGACAGAATGACGTGGGTTAAGGGGGTCGTGCCCCCTTGTAGGGTCCTAGGGGCAGAGCCCCTAGTGGGGCTTGGGGCAGCACCCCAAAAGGTCTTCAGAAATTTGAATTAGTTTCTTTAAGGAAAAACCGAATTCTAGTGAGTGATTATGGTCAAATTAACAAATCTCATCAATTTTGGAAACCATTGATTATGCCATTAAATTCGAGATTTTTCTAACTAATTTAGAAGATTAAACCCTAATTTTTCATGCATATATACGTTCCTCTTTTGACCCGTATAAAAAACCTTCTTTTCAACTCTTCTTTTTTTCTAAATGAACACAGAACTATCTGACGATTTGGTTTGCGTTTCTGTGCCTAGGGGCGGACGCAGAAATACATACTAGGTGTTGCCGGTGCAAGAAAAATAGGTAAAAAAAATCAGAAAAAATTTCCACTACGTTCAGGGAAAGTAGGTGTTATCGATGCAACACCGGGCACCCTACAAGAACCTCACTGTCTGTGCCTAGATACACACGTGTTCTTTTGAATTATCCTAGACTGGATTTCCTGTAACCTAAACATTGAGTGTAAATATCAGTTCGGAAAGTAAACTTACACGATACATAAGGAATCCAGTTTTCCACCATCACCCGTATATTCCCCCAACATTAACTATTAATAAAAAAATCTAAAACTTGTTTAGTAAGCTGATAAAATTTAGAAAACTTGTACATTAAAATCATTGTCATTGGTTCTTGGAACTTATATTTTTTATCTTGACATGTGATTCGTAATGACTTGTTCATTCCATAAGCAAAAACTCCTCAAAGGAGATATATATGTAGACTCTTTGTTCACATAAATTATCTATGTCACTTTATGTGTATGCTTCCTAGACATTAGTAAATTGACCTTGGACTCTGGAAAGGTTTTATATTAGTTTGATATATTCTCATCTACGTATATTCTAATATATTACTTATAAGAAATTAAATTACAATGGGCTTTGGATGCAAGATGTAACATCTAAATTAAAAAAAAACAATAATAAATAATAAATAAGTATTGATTTTGCTGTATCATAGCAAAATCCAATTGATAAAGTAATCAATTTGGTAAAAATATAGTCCAAGTGTGTAAAACTTCTGTGGTTTGGGAGTGGGACTTGAGAGTGTGCAAACATTGTCATAAGTTGTAGGTAAAAAGGGTGAATATTATGAGTTAAGTGGAAAATGCTTATTTATTTTAAATGTGTATTTGTTTTTATGTAGCAAAATAGATTTTTTACTGCTTTATGCAGCCATATTTAATTATATTGCTAATTTCTATATGCATAAATTGGTAACGTTTTTTGTAACACCTTCAAACGTTTGTCGACAATCATGTCAAAAACCAACTTGATATATAAATTGATAAAAAAAAAAAAGTAAAACACGATTTTATGTTTTATAGAAAACATAATGAACATATTAATCTAATAGAAAATACGGTTTACAATAATTTAATAACGTGATAAATCGTATCCCAATTTTACAGCTACAATAAACTTATAAAAACAAGGCATATGATTTTCAGCGCATGGCCCGGACCATGATTAACAACAATTATATTGAGTAATATATCGAATGAATATGAATCTGAAAATTATATTAGTATATTTTTTGTTTTAAAAAAATACTGTTTAAATGTTTATAAATCTTATAAAATACTATAATTGAACCAGTATTTGGAGTGTCGTAGGAAATAGACATTTTTCCGTGCTTAAATTGTCATTCACTCGTTCTCACTCCCCCCTTCACTTTCTACAATCCCGAACAAACCGCGTTTGCACAGTCACACACCTCCACACATACACGCACAAACACCATGAAACCAGCACTTCCATGGCGGATTCCCTCCTCGCTCTCTTCTCTCTAGCCTTCTTCCTTTTTCTCAATTTCCCTTCCATCTCCTCGCTTCCAACTGTATCAATTTCCCACATCAGTTCCAACCAAACCCTCATTTGTGCGTTAACTAAATCCCCTACCCAACAACAGACCCGCCTCAATTGCACCACTACTAGCTCCCCCGACGGATTTCAACTTCCGATCAACGAAGGAAACAGGTATCCCTTCGTTGGAATCGTGGGCGGAGCTGGATTCCTCTGTGCATTAAGCTCGCCGTTCTCGAATCCATCAACAACACCCACTTCGTTTATAGTTTGCTGGAGGTTTCTCAACAATGGAAGTACGTTGTATAAGAGGGTTTACCTTGGCCCATCTCTCCAAGACATTGATTCCGGTGACTCTCATGTTTGCGGGATTGTTAGTGCTACCAATCAGCTCCTGTGTTGGCAATGGGATCAATTCAATGATGATTCCAACGTCAATCGATCTCAATTCCGATCCAGTGTTACAGTTGGAGAGAATTACGTTTGTGGGTTCTCTGAATTTGGAGAAATAAGGTGCGTAGGAAGTAACAGTAATACTTTCAACATCACTAACAGTTCTCCGGTGGGGAATTACAGTGTGATTTCCGCCGGATATAATCGTGTTTGTGCCGTTAATTCCACTGGTGGTTTAGATTGTTGGGGAGACGCTATGATTTCGAAACCAAATGGTGTGTTCAAATCAGTTTCCATGGGAGATAATCGATTTTGTGCAATCAGGGATAATGGAACAGTGATTTGTTGGGGCGGAAATGGTTTCAGTTTGCCGGAAAATCTACGACAGGTTTCTTTCGAAGCATTGCAGTCAAATCGCGGTATTTTTTGTGGGATTTTGACTTCGAATTATTCGCTCTACTGTTGGGGGGATGAATCTTTGAACTCAAATTCTATAATTTTCACAGACGTGATTCCTGGTTTATGCACAACCACATGCAATTGTGGTACAATTCCAAACTACGGATCATTTTGCAGCAGAACATTAATGATTTGCAAGCCGTGTGTTTACAATCAAGACCCGCCGGAATCAGTCCCACCGATTGTCCCGCCACCACTTCCACCACCGCGCAACAGTGGTTGGAGTACCAAAATGGTTGCTTTCTTGGTGGTTGGAATCGTCGGTTGCTCATCAATCCTCGCTGTTCTTATCTTTCTCATCTTCAGATTCTGCAAATCAAACGAAGGTAGCCGGGTCCACGATTCCGGACCAATGGAAGACATCCAAATCACATCACAACTTCAAACTTCAAACCGGATTCTCGTAAAGAAGTTGTCACATTTAATTAGTACAGGAAACGCAAATCACTTGGAAGAATTCACTTTACAAACAATCATCAATGCAACTGACAATTTCTCCGATGAAAACCGAATCGGGATCGGAAGTTTCGGTTCGGTCTACCGCGCCATATTACCCAACGGTCAAAAAGTTGCGGTCAAACGGGCCGAGTCAACGTCCTCCTCCTCCCTTCCTGGGGGGACAAAAAAGCGCCAAGAAGATACAGACAACGCGTTTGTAAACGAGCTCGAGTTTCTCTCGCGTGTTAACCACAAAAACCTAGTCCAATTACTAGGGTTTTGTGAAGAAAACAATGAACTCGTGTTAGTATACGAGTTCATGGAAAACGGTAGCCTTCATGAACATTTACACGAATTTTTTAGCTCAAACATCATGTCATGGCCCGCCCGGATCAAATTGGCTTTAGACGCGGCCCGCGGAGTAGAGTATCTTCATGTTTACGCGGAACCACCGATCATACATCGTGACATTAAGTCCTCCAACATCTTGCTTGATGGTGATTGGACTGGAAAAGTATCGGATTTCGGGCTGTCGCTAATGGGCCCGCCGGATGATGGGTCACACCTCTCGTTACGGGCAGCGGGTACGGTTGGGTACATGGACCCGGAGTATTACAAGTTTGAGCAGTTGAATGCTAAGAGTGATGTTTATAGTTTTGGAGTTGTTTTGTTGGAACTGTTATCTGGGCTTCGTGCGATTCACAAGAATGAGGCGGGAGAGAGGAGGAATGTAGTGGATGTGGTGGTACCGTATATTGTGCATGAGGAGATGCATCGAATTTTAGATCATAAAGTTCCCCCGCCTACACCTTTTGAAATTGAGGCGGTGAAATATGTTGGATATTTAGCAGTTGATTGTGTGACTTTGGAGGGTAGAGATCGACCGTGTATGAGTGAAGTTGTTTCGTGTTTGGAGAGGGCGTTGATGGCTTGTTTGACGGTCCCTTCTTTTTCTCGGAGCTCGAATAGCTCTTCTGCGTGAAACAGTCCATTTCATGACATAATTATCTGGAAGGTTGTGGGTTCCGACCTTATAATATTTACAATTTAAAGAGGAAAAAAAGATAGCAATGGGAATGTGATAAATTGTAGTTGGTTTTAAAGATAGCAATGGGAATGTGATAAATTGTAGTTGGTTTTTGATAAATTGTTGATAATATTTTTCAAATTTCTTTTTGTAGCATTTTCTTAAGTTTTTATAGGTTCAATTATTGATTGAATTATTTATATGGGTTGTATTGGTTGATTGTTCAACTTCCTATTTTCTTTATTAAAAATTGATTCTTTTGATTATTCAACTTCCTATTTTCCTTATTAAAAATTGATTATTTTTACATTATAAATTAGGGTCACAATTAAATTTGATAAATTTGATAAAGGCTCTAAAAATATTGATGGCTTATAATTTTTTTTTTTACAGAAAGCAAGATTGGTTTGTTAGTTACTAAATAACAAAAAAATATTACATCAATAAATTACATGTTATAATAGAAAATATTAATCATAAAAAATGAAGACAGTTGTATAAAAATATTTTATTATGTCCAATGTTTTACCCACAAACGACTCGAAGTATCATGTGGCGTAGGTTGTATTGGATGTATCGGATTTGCATGGCAGGTCAAAGATATCAACGTGGATTGAAAAAGAAGATCGATCGACTCTTGAAGTCAATGAAATCGAGAAAGTCTAATAATTTGAAATCAAGGGTTGACTTCTTGACGCTCCCCCTCCATTATCACATGCTTTCCAGAACATGAGTTTTGCACAACTATTTGCGTATTATTAGTGCATAATTTATTTATTCTTGATTATATTAAAATTATAATACACGTAGGGGCAATTACTTGTGGCATATCTATATATATTTGCAATAAAGGCCATTAAATCAATATATTTCAAGCTAATTAGTTATTTTATAACATTAATTAAATTTTTTTTATAATACTAGATTGCGCATCGGCAGGTATCCAACCAAATTTCATAAAACTGGTACCAAAATCAAACCAGTTGGTTTTTAGATTATTGGATGGAACTCGTTGGACCAACAACAGTGTTTTTTTTAAGTTTTAGATCATGCATTAAACCGATGAGAATCAGGTTCGATAACGGTTACCTATTACTAAATTTTGAATGAATTCAGTAAAACATTGAAAAGAAACTTAATAAATTATTCTTTAATATGCCTAGAGTATGTAGAAAAATCTTTTAGATTTGTTTTTTCATTAGGTGATGTTAACAATTTTCCGTTCTCTTTTTCTATTCAAAAAGAACAAAGTTGTGATTTTTTAATAAATAAGACCAAAGTTTCATTACTTTACAAAAAAAAATTTGTTTTTAAACAAAGCAACATTTCATAACGAATTTGTTCATTGAAGAAACCGAATGAAAAAAACATAATCCACTTGCTTACATTCAGTAATCCGTTTCATCATCTCAATGATTTTGTTTAGAATTGAGAAATTTTATAATAACTTTCAGATTTAGAATGCTTTGAATAGAGGGTTAATATATTTTACAGATCAGTCATCTCTGCCACTCTGCCCAAATATCTCTTCATTCACAATTATCAATTCATAAATAAGTGCACAAAAATCGGTTTGTTTTTATATATTTTTTTGTTTGTTCAACTAAACTTACTTTGTTTGGTTTGTTTTATAATAGTAAAATATAAATATGTAGTGAAAATATAACCCCCAAAACACAACTTTGAGATAAAACTCCAAACTTGATGTTCAAACTAAATGCAATCTTTCATTCCCGGATAGAAGTGAAACAGAATCTAAATAAAAGTCCAACAAAATTCCACCAAGAAAAACTCAACATTCCAATGGGGGTAAAGCAATCTATTGCTGGGCTTCAACTTTCTTCTTCTGCCACAGCCTATCAAGTGCACTATCAGCATCTCCCTACACACAAACAAATACAAAGAAAAAATATCAATAAAACATGATCACAGACTAAGTCATTTGCTATAAACATGCCATATGATAAATGACGAAACTAACCTGGGCACGGACAAAACCACAGAGAGCAAATGTGGAAAACTGACCAGTATATCGGCCACTTTCATCCAAATGCCCTACATTGATTTGGACTGAAGCATGATCTTTTGAGGTAATTAGCCTGTTTGTAGCAGAGCTGGAAAAGCAAAAAATAGATTGAGCTAATTTCACAATTTGTTGCTTTTATAATGCAAAATATACATGCTTAAAACCATACCATTTTCTTGGGATATAAAGATCCATGTTCTGTCCCTCTTCGTTCTGCATGTTTGCAAGTTCTTTTGACAACCGTTAAATCTAGAAACAAAAAGAATGACAAAATTAGAGGCCAAGATTAGCTATAAAGATAAGGATTATCCCTATATAATTCAGTATAATGCCCAAATTCTTGTTATTAACTTTAAGTTCAAAGTTATTGAAGTAAGTTCACACAACAAACATACAAAAAATCAATCTTTACAAAGAATAGCAAGCAAAATGCTTTAATGATCGAAGCTAACTGAACGAATGAAAGATCAAATTTGATGTAAAAAAGCTTGCAATTATGTGTAATGTGTGAGGCAACAACATAGAAACATTGCACAAATAATCGAACAGGATAACATGTACGCCGTATGAGCTCCATCCATAAAGAGACTCCGGCATTGCTAACGAATACTACCTATTAAACAAGAACAATTTTAAAATTCCAACATATTTCTTTACAAATTAGAAAATCGATGAAACTTCTACATTTCTAGTCGGTATTAGTAGCAAATTTTTTTCGCTAGCTAAAACAAGCATATCAATTACGAACTGAAAAATATAAATCACTTTAAAAATATCATTGAGAGTGAGAATCTAATCGGAAAGAAGCCAGTGCTAGAGCGCATTTCGGAAACATAGGTTTTACATAAAAAAAAATAAATAAATAACAGTTTCGAGCGGAATTCAATTGAACAATTCATAATGGAGAATAACAATAGTATAGATTTATGATATACATAAGAGGACGATGGAGGAATAGAACACAAACCTACGATGAAGATGGTTTAGTCCGGCTGTTTGCTGCGGAGCGATGAGGCGTCTGGCTTAAAAGATATGAAAACCCTAATTGCGTTCGTTTATATAGTTGTATGCGGAGGGTAAAATTATCATATCCCTAATCAGTTTGGTCCTTACACTATTTCGTATATTCAATTTTACTCCTTCAAGGATTCTTTTTTGACATTTAAGTTCACCAAATATATTTGGAAAAAAAAAATGCATGGGTTATTTTTGTAGAATAACAACCGTCTTATATGATCTTTAAAGTCATGAAGAAACTTTTTATACACAATAGATATTATATCATCAACATTCCACAAACATTTGTTGAATATCAAATCATTGTCAAAAATCACATCATCAGTAAATATTATATAACCATTAATAATATATCATCATAATATGAACCTTACGTAAATGAATATGCATGTGATATTCTTCCACCCCAAGTTAACCTCACAACTCTACTAATTGCTAACCAAACTCATCAATTACTACATGCATTAGAGAATAGACATACATACTGTGACAACCTGAAATTTCTATCTTGTACAACCATTCACTTCAATCAAAGTCAGACTTGTTTCTGCTAACTTTTAGCACTGTTTAGAGTCTGTTTGAGCATTCTGAGCCTAGTGCATCAAAGGAATCAGTGTTTGGATTTATAAGTTAGGGTTCCAAACCAGCTAGCAAACTGTAAACCTCCTCAAAAGGAGTTTACGGTCAAGAAGCTTAGAGCTTACGGTCATGGTGACCGTAAACTCCCTATATATACATAAATTATGATCATTTTGATCATTTCTTTCATTTCCAAGCCAAAATCTCGAAAACTCTCTCAGGTATCATAAGATCTTCATCTTGATCTTCCAAAAATGTAAGAATTCTTTCATTTGATTTGTTGTTACATCTCTTTATCTAGTGGTTATGCATGATTTCATCCATGAAATCTCTTCATTTTGATAGATCTTCAAGTATTCTTCATTTCACCAAGAACACACACTGGTGTTCTTGGATCCTAATCACCCTTACAAGCTTCTAATAAGTAAGTACACTACCCTTAGCTTGTTATATACTAGAATCACTAGTTAATCACCTTGAAAACATCATTTTTAGCCAAGAACAAGGTGTTTAGGGTCTAAGAGTATCTCCTTAGACCGTAAACTCTAATGAAAGGTGCATTAGAGACCCTAAACCCTTCCTAAGGCTAAGCATGGTCCCTAGAATCTGATGCCTTTGAATGCAGCCCTTGTAAACCATCATTTGTGCAAGATTTGATGAGTTTACGGTTGGATCTCCTTAGACCGTAAACTCCATGACCATAAGGTCATTAGACCGTGAACCACTTGGACCGTAAACACTTATGGTCATGCCATTTGGACCGTAAACTCTATAGGGTGGCCATATACCTTAGCTATGCAATCATATGTGATTGTATCCCTTCAATCTAAGAGTTTCCTAGTCTATTAGGGTGTTATCCCTTATAATTAGTTGCTTATACACTAAGCAAATACACATACATGTCATTATATGTTTATTAGGATCTTTGTGTGTGCTCAAGGTTTCACCTGACACTCTACATCCTATTTCCAAACATACTTCCGTATCACTCACTACAGGTGAGTTCATACCCCTTAATCTATCTTTTAAATGATTTTAAATGCTTTTATGGGGGGGGGGGGGGATACAAGTAGAAAACATGTTAGTTATATAATCAATCACATGTGATTTATAACTATTTTTCAAACAAAGGGTTTCATATACTTCAAACTGTGTTTCAAACAAAGGATTTCTTATACTTTCAAACTGTATTATCAATCAAACTGCTTTTAAATCGCTTTATAAATTGAAATCAAGTCATCAATATTTATTATTAAACTCTTCAAATGTTTTACAGAACTTCTTTTTAAACTTATATATTTTCAAATGCATGTCTATATATGTATAGTTATATAAGAAATGTTTAAAGGACTTAGGACTGATAACTCGCTTAATTTCCTTTTCCTTGTTTGGATGTGGCTTGAAAGTATCGGTTATTTGTCCGAAGGTCGTTTAAATATCAATTATATATTATGTATACATATGTAGATATAAAAGTACTATCAATCAGTTCAGTACCTTTGGGTAACAAAGGCATACCTTCCTTCATTCAAACTATAGAAATTGCTAGTAAACTATAATAGGTATAGTTTAGGAGAATATTATCATATACAAATACTATAACAGAGAACACTATAACAGAGAACACTATAACAGAGAATACTAGACAGAGAACACTATACAAAGGATACTATACAGAGAATACTATACATAGAATACTATTACTATAACAAGTATACTATAACAAGATTAAGAGATAACATAATGTGAGATACTACTTCATGACACATCGACCATTTCGTTATGTCACGTTTTGTAACCAAAATCTCCTGGAGGGAGAGCGTGAGTTTGCGTATAGATCTATACTGGATTGACTATCCTACACCTTGCTGTTCGCTACAGTGGGACTTACAAGTCTACGGGTGCCAAATGTCATTTCTTCCGACGTCTTTCATCGTCGTGTTATAGTCGGTTTAGTATGGTAACAATCTTATCACATTTTGCCTTAATTAAACCATTGGTTTTAAGGTAGTTATTACTTCAGTAGTTAATACAAATAATACTACAGTACACATACATTTTTCCCATTATATTCAAATTGTGATCTTCTCACATAAAGGGTAATATAAAACTATATTCTAGTAACGATAGTCATATTTGGGAAAAGCTTCCACTTTTACAGAGAAATAAACATACAAAACAGTCGGGTCTTGGTAAAAGACTATTTTTATACTAGTAGAAAATATAGGATTTTCTAGGAGTTTTTCAAACATATACAAACATTTACAATGAACATTCACAAACATTTTCATCAAACTTATACAAACATTGACACTAAATACTTATGACTCACCAACTTAAATGCTGATCTACACTTTCAAAATAACTTGTATTCTCAGGTCACCAGTAGACATGTACTGATGGCAGGTTTTGAGAAGACGGAGCATGTTCAAGACTCGTCTTTTATTTTGATTATTCATTTTTGGTGTCTTATTACTATTAAAGAACACACTTGTATGAAATTATACTATTAATGCAATGGATGATGTTGTTACTTATTTACTACTTTGCATTGTTATGATACTGTACATGACGTCCTCCGCCCCCGAACGTTTCCGCCGTTCCGGTTTTGGGGTGTGACACATACACACATAATACGTCTATGAGGGATGAATAAACATTAATTGAAACCCAAATGACAAAAAATATTGCATGTAATGGTCATGGAAATCATATCGTATGGTCCTTAAACTTTAACTTGGTATTCTAAGGTTGTGTTTGGCGCGTTATGTTTGGCAAGCCAAAAAGTAGCTGATAAGCTTGCTTTTTAAAAAACTAATTAGATTTATCTTTTCAAGAGTCTTTTAAAAAATTTCCAAATATATCCTTAACTAATTATAAAAAAAAATATATATATTTTCTAAATGTCTTTTTATATCATTTTATATATTTCAACTAGCTTATAAGTTAGTTTTTACTAAATGTCATTTTTTGTTGGCTAGCTTATAAGCTAGTAGCTAACTTTTCAGCTATCGACTACCCTTTCAGTTACTAGCTAGTTTTTCAACTAATCTGTCAAACATAGCCGAATATTGAAAAAAAAAACTGGTTAAAGGTGACATATTAATAATCACAATCTTGTCAGTAAAAAAGATTTACATAAAGGGTGTCGAAGTAAGCATAATATGCCACCTATAACTAGTTTTCATCGATTCTCTTGGTTTCAATCTTAAGATTATGATTATTAATATAAAACTTTTTGAAAAATAAAGCTAGAAGCAATGTTTGGTTCGCTAAACGAAAAAAATCGATTGGACTTTGAAATACGGATTATGTTTGAGTTAAGGTTTTTTTTTTTCATGTTTTCTTTTTACTTTTGTGTTTTTCATTAAAGTTCAGCAAAAGAAAAGTAATTTATTGATACAAGACATATATGTATGTTCATAATTTAATTTTTAGTCTCTATGGTTGAAGTGCAAAATTTAGAACGGAGGGTAGTGCACGGAGGATCCAAGGTCTCCCATATGCCTAAAATTGCCTAAAATATTATTAATGATCCGTGATTTGCCCCCATTTGATCGACAAAGGTGGGTTTGACAGGTACCACTAAAAGAAAAAAAAAAAAAAAAAAGAACTGTATATTAATTACATTAAATTTTAACATAATTAATAAGACTTATACATAAAACATTATGCTCTTGGTTGTTCGATTTGGGTTTCAGTTTTTATGTAAAGAACAATGACACCAAACCTCTTGATTTTTGTAACAACCAAAAACCAAACTAATGATTTTCAGTTCCGAATCTTCAATTTTGTTTTTACTCACCCTAAACAAACTTTCCCCCAAATTTGTTATCCCCAATTTACGACCCCCAAACCAAAAGCCAGCCACTATAGAATCACAATTATCCCTCATATGGATTTTATGGGACATTAAGGGGTTCTCTTTGTAATAATTATTGTTAAAATCAACCTCATACACTTTGGGAATTAAAAAGGGATGCTATATTGATGTTCTTTATAACCGGGCACCTATGAACAAATTAACAACTTAAACTCTAAAACATTTGATAACAATATGAATATAATAAATACATAAAAACAAAACATCTCAGTTTCTTTCTATCATATCCCCCACTCGACCCTTATGCAATTTGAGCTATCTCCAGCAAAATTTTGTGCAGTGACTGTGGTTTAGAGAAGAAAGGGCAATGATCACTACCCTTGATCTTGAAAACACCTTCTGGTGGATTTTCTCTTACAAGCTTTTCTTGAATATCTGGTGAAAGGGCATGATCGTCAAGTGTTTGAACATAAAACCTACGCCCCTTCCCATATTTCTCTTTCGATAGTGACAGGTTCTGCATTATGGGTCCCAGTGGGATCGGTCTCACTGAAACCATAGCCAGAGCTATATCCTGCAATCACTCATAATCCATCAATTTATAATAAACTTTCCATGAAATAAATTCTTATATCAGGTTTCATGAATCATCAAGAATGCATAAATGGAGTGGAATATTACTTTTGCAGGTGACTGATTGAAATACAATCCACGCATTTGTTGCTTCTCAAACATGAATCCAGTTGCTGGATTGTCTTTCCCATTTCCATGTATCAAGAACTTGGATTCCTTCATAAACAGTTCTGCAGATCCAAGCTGCAAAAAGAGAATTTATATACTACATGACTTAATCCAATAAGCTGTTTTTCAGTGAACACCAAACAATATGTATAATGTGCAAAAAATACATACCTCTTCAGCAAAAACATCAAAGGGTTTTTGTCCATCGGCTACCATTGTCCCACATAAAAAGATTGCTTTAGAAATCTTATCTTGAAAATGCTCTAATGCATATGAAACACAAGCACCTCCACTACTATGTCCCACTAAAATTACCTACAAATGTTTACAGATAAACCAAGCTATAAAAAACAATCATGTAATGATGTTAAAAGTAAAAAGAGGTAGAATAGAAATATGTTTTACCTTTTCATCTTCGGGTAAATTTTGCAAATAATCAGTTAGTGGTTTTGAATAGTCCTCAAGTGTAGTGACATTGTTTGTGTCCTTCAAATCAATACCGGATCCAGTAAGATCTAATGCAGTAGGAAGCATTCCGGATTCTTCTAGAAGAGCAATGGTTTTATACCAACACCATGCTCCAAATCCTTCTCCATGTATCAAAACAATTTTCTTCGTTTCAAGATTCTCCAAGAATTCTGGTGACTGAATATAAAAAAAAGTGTTAATTGCAAGAAATAGCCACATACTTTCACTTATTCGTGTATTATAGCATAACACTTTCATTTTTTCTTCTCACACCATTGTAGTTTGAAAGATCTACCTAATTATAGCAATGTATTTTGGAGAATATTTAAAATACAATGTCCTGATAAGACAATAAATGAAAGTACAATGTTGTAATTGGGTGGAGTTTTTCAAGTACAATGTTATGGATAATTTACAGAATGATTTCACCATTAGTGCAGAAAATGTACTTATGCAGAAATTTACGAACTGATTTACAGTTTTCCTTTTGGAGATATAAATTATTTCATTTATGATTTTGCACCAAAAACTAAAAGCTTCTATCAATGCTCATAAACATCAAGCAGTGTCCCATACTTCCAAATCACACACAACAACAACAGAGAACATATACAATAGATGGAAATTGAATGGTAAATTCAATGAAGATATGAACTTATGGTACTAACAAGTCCTATTGTAATCATTTATCTCCGATTCTACTCATCCCTTCTCAACACATCATAAATTTAGCCATTATCTTGAAACAAAATTGTTAGATATATAGAAGCTTCCCTTTGAGAAAAAACACAAAAAGCTTAAAAGTTGCTTCAAAGGCAAAACCGGTATGAATGCATAGTTAAAAGAACAAAGGAGCAACCCAATAGAAATAGTCAACGCTGCAGAAAGGCTATATGATTATCAAGATACTACTAAAGAAAAAGAAAAAGCTCCTTTTTAGGCTATTGAATTCTTCAAACAAATCAAATTAACTTTTTCCCTCACGCTTTTTCACAAAAATTAAACATATTAAATAAGCAAAGTAAACCCACTAAAGAAAAAGCAAAAGGATATAAATGAAGTGACCTGTTTTTGCTGTTTGGGGTTAGTCAAGGTCGGATCCGAGATGGGGTTATTGCGGCGGCGAGAACTGGTGGATCCAATTCGTCTAGACAAAGAACCATCGAATCGCTGAGACGATTGATGGTGTTGAATTGCAAGAGACAAAGCTTGCATGTGTAATAACTCCTCATCTGATTGCAATTTCCTCTGTGATCGATTCCCCCCACCGAATCTCCTACTACTCTTTGACCCGTTACTATTGTTCTTCGTCTTGCAACTAAATCGATTACCCATTTCTTGCCAGTGGAAAATAGGGGGATTACAGGATACAGATTTTGAGATTAGAGGAATTTGGGGATGTCGGTTGCGTATAAAACCAAATTATGAGAGCTGGAGCTCATGTATCACCTGTATAGTTGAGTGTTTTTATCTAGGGTGCACAGAGGCAGAGAGAGATTAGGTGAAAGTACAGTGAGACTTTAATGGGATTATCAATCGAAAAAAAGGCCCACGCAAGGAGCTGAATTTGCGACCCAATTAATTGTTGATTTTCACCGTCTTCTCTGGATTTTAGTTCTTGTGGGGCACGCTCTTTTGTTTTGAACCTGTGAAAACGTGTTCCGCCGAAAAGGAGAATCTCATCGCTATTTACTTCATTACAATTTACAACTTACAAAATCAAAGATTAGAGGAAGTGAAGTTCTCAAAATTAGAACTTGGTAGTAAGTTTTAACTTTTCTATGGTAACAAATGAAAATCATTTTTACACGTATCGTTTTCTATGAGATTTTTGAATTACCTAAATTCTATGTATCATTGTGATGTTTTTATTTTTTATTAATTAAAAATTAATTAATTCCACTTATTAATATCTTTATCATATATATAAAGTATTCATCGTATTAAATATTTAAATCAACAATATAAATAATTCCACTAATTAATATCTCACACATAACTTATGTTAGGAACATTCACTCACTGCCGACTGTCTTACGCATACAATTTATACACAATCTAGCATCTCATGTTTTCTAAGCTACAAGACATCACATATCAGACCAATTTATCACTGACCAATCAAAACTAGCATGCAAATCTACAAGTTCATACAATAGGAATACAAGTCATCTCTCCTAACATTCTATCATGCAAACACTGAGCAGATCCTTAGCCCCAACTAGCATGTGGTTCACAATTTCATAAATCAAATCATAACAGATAACATGTATGAGTATTTTGGGAAAACTTACTTGAGTTCGGTAGATTGCATGCACCACACCCTTTCTTGTTTTAGAAAATGTATTCTCCTTTTTAAATAATTTTTTTCTCTCATTTTTGAAAAACTTTACAAAATCCTCAGTTTGAGTTCAGACACACCCGAGAGTATGTTCGAATCCATCAAATCAAGGCTTTGATACAAACTTGTAACGTCCCAAAAATAAGACACAGAAGTTCCATTTTTAAATTAATAAAATAAGTATTCCAAAAACATCATCGATACAAACCCAATAAAACAAGCGTATCAATCGACATATGAAATCATAGTAAATCACAAAACGCGGAACGAGGTGGTGTGTGCCTTGCAATCATCTTGAGCTCCTACCTTTGAAACCATAAATATTCAAAACATAAATCGAAAACCGTAAGCACATGTGACATCCCCAAATTTCACGGCCAGAAAAGACCGATTTGTTTATGCTTTATTTGAAAATCAGAGTATATTTTTAAATAAATATATTGCGAAATTTGTTCCCAGAAAAACATGATAAATATATTATCAAAGCATTTCCGAAGAAATGTATTTTGTTCATATTAAAACTTTGGGATGTCATCGTCAATACTGAAACATAAGCATAAACAGACCTTACATTTATTTACACTAGTGATCTACATCTCCTTTAAATCTCTCAGTGTAAAGTAGCTTCGTATCGACACCTGTGATACAAATAGACTGAGTGGGTCAGGTGTGACAACCCGAAACTTTTCCCGTTATCCTTACCCAGTTTCCGTTAATAAAATTTGGGTTTTTATTTAATTCCGTCAAATTTCTTAATTTGGAAGGACCTTAAGATTTAAATAAATAATATGTATTTTATACGATTCGGAATAAACCAGGAATCACGCGAAAAACTTGAAATTTCCTCGAAAATCATCGAGTTCACGGTCAGGACAGTTTACGACCGTAAACTCGTGTAGACCGTAGACCCGTTTACGGTCAGGACCCTTGAGTTTACGGTCAGGGTGACCGTAAACTCCCTCCTATATATATATATATATATATATATATATATATATATATATATATATATATATATATATATATATATATATATATATATATTTCATGGTCATTTTTGACCATTTCTTCCATTTCAAGCCTAGAATCTCGAAAACTCTCTCAAGTATCATAGGATCTTCTCGCAAATCCCCTAAAATGTAAGTGTTTCCTTCCCTTTTTGAGTTAATACATCTCTTCTTCTTGATTCACTCTTGAATTCATCCACAAATCTCATCTTTTGAGTCTAGATCTTCAAGATCCTCAAGATCATCAAGAACACTTGAGGGTTTTTGGGCCGAAAACACCCCCATTTGCCTCTAAATCGTAAGTATCATCCTCTTATACTTATATCTAGTTAGGATTCTTGAGTTTTGCCTTGAAATCGTCACTTTTCCATGAACAAAAGGTGTTTACGGTCTAGTGTATCTCCTTAGACCGTACACCCTTCAATGACCGTATATTCATGGGCCGTAAACCCATGAACCGTAAACCTTATGACCGTAAGGTCATTAGACCGTGAACCCATAGAACCGTAAACCCATGGACCGTAAACCCGTGACCGTACACTCCTGATTACGGCCATAAACTCCCCTCTTCAATCACTTGTGATTCTAACACTTAGTTTCAAGTGTTTCCTAGTCCCTAAGGTGGTTTCCTTCCATAACAAATAGTGTTATGCCTTTACCTAATACATGTATGTGCAACCATGTGTTAAATAGGATCCAATTGGGTCCGAGGCTTCAATTGACACTCAGCATTACTATCGACCTACATCCAAATCCCACGTCAAACTGTGAGTTCATACCCCTATGCTTTTCCGAGTTTTTCATGTTTTCAGGGGGGAATACAAGCAAAAGTACAAGGAAACTTGTGCTCAAAATATATTATTTTGTTTAAGATAACTATATTTCTAGTATGCTTTTAACATGGAAAACAGTTTTTACCAAACGATTAAGAAATCAACTCGTAGAAACAGTTTTCAAAACTAGGGTAACGAACTCGTGAATCATGTCGTAAAATGTATCATTTTATAAAGGATTCCTGCAAATCATAAAAAGGATTTTCCATATTATTACTTGTAAATTTGTTAGTCTAGTTGGAGACACGTCCTTGGTAACACTCCCACAGAATCAGAGTGTAGGACTAGCACTTGTGACCAGAATCTCTTGTAGGGAGAGCGTGACTGTTGTGTATAGATCTATACGGGACTGACAATCCCGCACCTGGCTACTAGCTACAGTCGGACCGGCAGGTCTACGGGTGACAAAGTCATTAAGGATATCGGCCGTTGCGGGCCATATCCAGTCAGTTATGGTCATGAAACTCACAATGTAGATAAAAGAGATTTACTTTTGTAATAATGAATCAAGTGAACTAACCTCAAAGTAATAACCGATTTAATTACTGGAGGGTATTAATAATAATATCTTCAGGACTTAGTTCATCACAATTTTCTTTTACTTAGTTTTTAAAGCTAATGTACATCTCTGGGTGTAACCAGGGTTTTTAAAAGAAAACTGCTTTTAATAATACGAGTATGGTAGATACTTGCATACCTCAGTTTAAAACGAAATATCAACCATCAACCTTTAGGGAAAATATAGGATTTTCCCGGGATAAACCGGCTATTCAAAACGGATTTGTTTATCATGTAATCAATGGATATTCATATTCATTCCACGACACCTTGGATTGTACGTATCTTGGTACGAATCTGGACGTCATGGAAGAAATGGGTTTTCAAACATGCTTTTATTAAGAAAATATAGGATTTTCTTGAGGAACACTTTTCAAAAGGATCAAAGAACAATTTCCACCAAAAACTAAACGCTTATGAACTCACCGGCTTTATGCTGATATTCTTTCAAAACTGCTTGTATTCTCAGGGAATTAGTAGACAGGTACTTCCAGGAATTTGGAGAAGTCGGAGCGTTAGAGTCACGCCTTTCCATTTTACTTTTGATATGAACAAAACTATGTATTAAACAATGTAAACCTTTTTCATATATGTATTCAATGTCTGGTTGTGTTTACTATGCTTGCTATGATACAATTGTTGTGATACTACGCATGACGTCAACCACCCCCGAACGTTTCCGCCGTTTCGGTTTGGGGTGTGACATCAGGTTGGGAAACCTGGTGAGCACATAGGGTTTTCAACCCACAATAATATAATTATTCTGTTTAAACATCAAACAATCAACCCAATTACACATCCCCATTATCTTCTTTAATCTTACGGATCTACCCTAAGAATCATCTATCCTTCATTCCTAAGGATTATCTTAAAGAATAGGCACGAAGTCCATCGCTGCCCGAGGTTTATACTACAAGCACTAACGAACGTCGATCCCCACGTACTGATCCTATACAATGATCTTACAAGATCTAGCCTAAAGGATCGATATGAGCAACAAACTGACGAAGCTGCTTCAGAAATTTCCTAGCAGCAAACGAGGATCGATAAAGACATCAAATGAGGGGAATGGAATAAGTTTCACCACGAACCTTCATTCGTAAAAGAAAGAACCACAAGACAATTAAGTCAGGGGTAGTTATCTAGATAACAGTGCCTAACAGTGGTCCGAATATCGTGAGGTATTTTACCCCCAAACTCACCCTATCCGACATCGAACTTTGCCTACCAGTGGTCTGACATCGTGAACGGAAACGCTGACACATGAAGCCCGTCCGATCACTTCATAAAAGAAACGAAGACTCCAAAGCTCTTCAAAATAAAAAGTATTGGGAAAATACTAATAAAGTACTCCCGTATGCTCCCGTACCCCGATACGTAATAGTGTCAAAAAGAAGAACTTTGTTCATGATACTTATCGGATGAACACATAGTTCAAAAACACCTAATGAACACTTAGTTCAAAAAACACCTAATAAACACTTAGTTCAAAAACACCTACAGGTTACGAGTCTGCTAACGTTCCACTGGACTACCTAGAATAATCTGTGGTCGTTGTCTATACTTCGCTAGATGACTAAATCATCTTAAACATCGATACCTCTCATCAATTTTTATTTCATCACACATCATCTAATTCATCTACTCATGTTTTACCCCAACATATTTGTAGATATAAAATACATATATAGTTTAAATCATTTAAAACATGTATAATAGTGTTCATCTAACATAGATAACAAGTATACAGATAATATGCACACATAGCACGTAATTTATATAAAATACTTTATATGTATATATTGA